ATAAATAAATAATATAAATAAAATAAATAAATGTATTTGTATATATCTTATCTAGTTTATTTCCTTACCACAACACAAGACATCCATCAGAATAATTGCCCATAAAATAAATTGAAATAGCTAGAAATTAATCAAATAAATATATAAAGAGTATTAATAATAAATAAAAATGTTTTTAATCTATTATTTTCTTACCACAAACCAATAGACATCCATCAGCATAATTGCCCACAGCATAAGGTTAAACTCAAGCCCAAATGGCAGATGATCACTATAGTAAATTTTGGCTACACTTGGCTGGATGGTTAACAGTACTTTGAATGGATACCAGTACATTCTAGTAATACACCTGTGGAAAACATTAATTAAACATTGAGAATGCTAAATACAATTGTAATACTGCAATATTAGCTATGTTGCAAATATGGCCTTCCGAGTCCTGTGGTGCCCCTGGGTAATTGAACTTTCAGCGAAGCCTAGCCCCCTGGATATTTTGCCAAGGTCCCAGAAAGAGATATTGTAAATGTATGTAAACATTGCGTTTGTGGGACACACATGTGTGTGTGGACGCACAATGTGTTTGTGGGACACACGTATCTGTGGGACACACATGTGTCTGTGGGACACACATGTGTTTGTGGGGCACACATGTGTTTGCAGGTCACATATATGTTTATGGGATATGCAGGTATATAGCATGTGAACAGACACCAATCTAAATCTTGGCAAGTGGTTGATTCTGGGGTCCCAAGTTGGAAGAATCCATTTCTTGGAAATCTGGTAAAAAGTTGTATTAGTGGTTGGCGCATCGGTTGTGGCTTGGACTCCCATCCTTGGGCAAGGCACTTTACCTACGGTTGCCTAAACATCCCCTGTGGCCCTTTAGGTCATCACCCATAAAACAAAAAAAAAAAAAACAAAAAAAAACTGTATTGACCAGGTCATTAAACATAAGTTTAATGAGGAAATAAAGAAATTTCCAATGTTCACCAGACGCATTTTTTTTTAGTTATCAATTTTTGACAAGCTTAGAAAAATTGTTTGTGTCTACTGGCCTGAAATGTTTGCTTTATATTGAAACACTCAAAACAAAGTCAACAATCAATTTCTGATAAGCTTAGAAAAATTGTGTCTACTGGCCTGAAATGTTTGTCTTATACTGAAACACTCAAAACGAAGTCAACATTAGTGGAATTAAAATCACTTTAACTATTTATCCACATGACAATTTTAAAAAAAAGAAAGTAAATCATGTGTTTAAAAGGTCATATGAAGCACACATGAATGTATTTGAGTCAGTGCCTTGTGATTACAATTTACATGCATAAACAGCTTTCTGAGATGACCCCTTAATAACACCATCTATTTAACTAATGCAGGTGTACAACAAATGTAAAATGTTCCTACATTTTATATCCGGCAAAATGTATTAATTAAACCTTTAAGACACATAAACAACGTCATAAATTTGCTAGTGAGCTAGTGAGTTCATAAGTGTGTACTAGCTTTATTCACATTAGGCCTACTGACCCACAGTACTTGCTTACTGTTGTACCAATGGAGAAATCAGTATCATTGATATAGGCCTACCAGGATCGCATTAGGCTATCATGTTCAACCACTGAAATAGTATGCAAATATTACATGCATAGTAATATGTGTATGAGGTTTGCATTATGTAATTACTGTACAATATTTGCATAATACTAGTATGTATATATTATGCATATTATGCACCTTTGCATAGTAATGTGCATATACTCTATATTGATTATTATGCACATAGTATGTGCATAATATTTGCATAATATATCTTATGTAAATATTATGCATACTACGCATACTTGCATAGTAATATGTGCATATGTTTTTTACCAAATCTGTTAAGGTATTTTACTAGCCCACTTTCATCTCATGTTTAACGTTTATAGTTTAATGTTTAATTTAAGGATTATTAAAGTTAGGGTTGTTGTTGGTTGTTTGGTTCTCATGTACCAAAATATCGAGTTCCCATGATCCTATCACTGTCCTGCCATTACTTCATTGAGAAAAATGAAATTATGAATATGAAATATATAATTTATACGAGTGAATGACACTTACCAAGAAACAAAGAATATTGCAAAACTTGTGTTTCCCAATGTTTCATAGATCTCAACTTTAGTACCATTTTTTCTTGGTTTAAAATAGATACAACATTTGGCCAACTCAAGGAAGATATCATTACAATCATGACATAATAAAACCAAGCTACCTAACACATGGTATCTGAGGAAGAATAAGACATCAAATATTTAAATGTATTTGTATTTAAAATAAAGAACAACAATGCATAATTAACAACAAATAGAAAATAATTTTGGAAAACAAGGAAAAAGGATGTTTATGTTTTCCAAGAACTTACCAAATATAAAGTAGAAAACTAATAAATTATATTAGTTACACAATTATCTATCTCTTGACCATAATCAGCTTAAACCCGCTTCTGTATTGATAATGAGGATTCACAATTTCTCAGCCCATCCCTTTATTTCTGGAGCCATAGCAACATGCATATTCATGGAAAGCCCTTAAAAAGTTGCTCCCATCCCTCCATAGATTCTTGTTGGCTTTATTCTGTGGTGAGATACTGAACTGGTGGCCTTGCTTTCACTGCCAGAAGTAGCCTCTATCCCTCTACTCCCCCACGGCTTAATTCTGAATTGGTAGCACTGCCACTTGGTGTGTTTGCCCCATCATAGATTATGTTTTAGTGGCCCTGTCCCTCCATCTTTAGACAGTGAATTGAGGGAATGGTTACCTGTGTAAGACTAAATTGGCAGCCTAATGCCTCTACAGTGTCATCATTGGCGGATCCTGAAATTCAAAATAGAGGGGGAGGGGCCAAATAGGGACATTCACGGGCGAAAGGTGGAGATCACCTCAGCCCCACCATAGTTGGAGCTGAGTAAGAAAATTTATGATTATGGCACTCACAGACCTCAATTTTAATATAATTTTTCCTTTTTTTCTCCGTTTCAAAAAATAATTTAGAAAAATTTAGGGGGGCTCGGGCCATCTGGGACCCTTTGAATCCGCCATTGGTATCCAGAAATGGTGATCCCACCTCTATCAGAGTCCAACATTCTCCCTTTATTCACATCATATGTCCCCATTTACCTGCACCTCCACTTACCTGACTGTATATGAGAATGTGATGAGAACCAGAGTGAGAACATGGTGTATACATAACACGAGTGAATCACTCCTCCAAACATCCAGAAAGATTGTAGCAAACATACTATGAAGGTAGAATGAGGCTTGCACTGCATACAACCAGTAGATTTCACTTGATACCTTCGACCCAACTGTCCACCCTAATAATCATGAATATAATAACAGTAAATAATCAATATAATTAATTAAAATCCTTTACTCTCTTTACACACATGATTTTAATACCTCCTTCTCAAATCTTTATCGTTAAATTCGCTGATGATACTACCGTGACTGGCCTTATTCAGAACAATGATGAGCATAATTATCGCGCACAAGTTGAACAACTAACTATTAAGTGGTGTAATTACAACAATCTTAAACTAAATGTTGCAAAAACTAAGGAAATAATTGTCGACTTTCAGAAAAAACAAAATATAAAAGAACCACTAAATCATCCAGAATTCTACTGTTGAAATAGTTAATTCCTTCAAATTTTTGGGTACATATATCAGAAATGACTTCAAATGGGGGGAAAACGTTCATCAGTGTGTGAAAAAGGCAACGAGGTCCCAAACAGCACTAGTCCCTAGGTGCCTTTAGGTGAAGATGAGCCAGGCCGAGGAGGCTAGCATATGCCCGAATCTATCGCCACATTGCTTGGCCAACTTGGCCGGCAAAGAATACCTGGGGAGCTTACCCGGGGGTGCCGCAGCCACTTCAAGACATGAGGCACTTGCGCTACCCATTTTACTGAAAATTCTTATGGACTTGAACTATCATTTACCAAAATTACACTGTGCTCTAAAAGACGACAGGAAAAAGGCCACTCAATAGTGCCAGAGAGGGCGCAATATTGACTGGTTCCCGATGGCAAAAAGTCTGGTCGCGATCTAATGGCTGTACCAAAGGTAGGCTTAGCAAGGGGCTTACCGGCTTAGCACCCAGTTTAGCTTGAAATTCCTGCTAACATTGTGCAGAAAATCGTGTCACTTTGACACAGGATAAAAAAAATTATGTTTAGTGGGCCACACACAAGGGGTTTTAAGGGTTCACAGACAGGCTGCAATATATGTGGAAAGAACACGACAAAACATCACATTTTTACAGATATTAACACGAGAGAAATGAAGTTTAAACAACCTTTACAACGCATACAGTATTTTCAAGGTGAACACAGTAATACCATAAGCCCTGCATTTTTTTTAATACAGATGAATCCAACAAAGAAAAGCATGGCTTTAAAATGCAGGGAATAAGAAAAGGGATTTTATTAAGTAGGTTTATCTCATGTTGCCATAGTGATAAAACCTTCATTGTCAATTGTCGGAGTCATAGCACAAATCCCTTCCAATACATATTTCCTTCCAATACATATTTCCTTCCAACCTTAATCGGTACAATCCATATCCTGCTTCTGAAGGTGAAGACTTGCTCACTTGAAAATACTTGGATGACTATCATTAAAAAAAACAGTCATTCATTTTAATATTTATTTATTTATTTTTACCACATATTCAGCACCAAAATCACTAATCAGGAAATGGCCAGAGGGGTGCAACTCAAGATGCACCTTTTTAAAAAAATCTTTTTTGGAATGGCACCATGAGCAACGGCTGTTGGAATGGCGCCATAAAAATGAATTGATTGATAGATTGATTGAAAGGACACACCATGGACTGCGAGTCCGACACAAGATGTGGGTATCTTCTGAACCCTCTGGTCAAACATACAAAAAATTACAAAACAGCACAGAGGCACAAGACAATACATTAACACAAAACAATTGTAAAAGATGTATAATATAATAATACAGATAAAATTTTAAAAATAAGCTTACAGGACAGGACAGTTGGGGGATTCAGTACACCTTTTCTCAGTGTATAGAGAACGATGGTCTTTGTATCAGTCAACTTTGACGGAAATTTTAATTTTGCATAGGAAACAAGCAAATTATAACTGATAATTCAGTACCCTCCTAGATACAAACAAGATAATTGACTAAAGACAGTTAGTTTAGTAGGAATGTTGAGAAAAACATCCAAGATGCAATAAACACTACCTTAATATATTTTAAGAAAGTTAAATCCGAGACTTTATTGTACAGAGCGCTTTAAAAATCTTGTTTATTATTATTGTTATCGTCATCATTAAGGAGAGGACAATACAGATATGGTTCAAATGATAAAGTTTTCCAGTTAAACACTGCAACTACCATAGTTACTTTTGTTTCAAAGATAATGTTTTTGTGTGAAAATTGTTCTTTTACTGTAATACCAAGTTTCATGCATTTCATAGGCACGAGACTTGTACATTCTTAAAATTTGCTCCAACAATGGTGGGACTGAGGTTGGTGTGGATCCTCATCAGGAAACTCTTTAGAGAATCTATGGCAAGGCCACCGGTGAAGTGTACTAGCAAAACCATGCTTTACAGTGCTTCTTTCCGTTAACACAGTACAGTAGTTTGCGTTCTTAAGAATCAAATCCTTAGCTTTGTTGACATGAATGTTGGCTCATAAAATTAATCAATAGAAATAACGACATACAGACGCATCTTTTGTTTTATTGAGTTTATAATATTGGGCAGTTGTGAGCCATATATCTTTAGAATCTTATGAGCCAGACTCTTATAGCCTTTAGTGGACCAGACTGTTTGGCTGTTAGTAGGCCTTACTCATTCCTTAATGACTCTCTTGAATCTGGTAGGCAAGCCTCTACTTAGTCTTTAGTAGGCTAGCCTCTGATATGTTAGACAGTACTGTACTTTCTAAATCTAGATACCCAAATGTAAAAATGCTTTTTCAAAAACAGTGAAACCTGACGAAATGATTGGCTTCACGTCTAACAAGGGTTCAGGGTTCACTAATGGGAGGTCATGGCCCATCCTGGATGCCCTACTAGTATCCTTACTATGTATATATGATGTATTTCCAATATTATTTTACTGTATATTCTGTCATATAAGACAAGGCTTAGAATAGTTAATTGTGATTGAAAAAGCAGGGAGTCACCTTAATATACTGTACAGCAAGTGCAAAGTTGTTAAAATACATTGACTTAAAAAAATACTGTACAATTTAATTAATAAATGAAATATTTATTAGGAACTGAATTATAATACATTAACTAAAAGAAGACATTAAAAATTTATGAAGAAATTTGTTTAAATAACCACATCAAGAATATTAGATAAAAATCTTTCTTCATTTTGGATGATACTTAATCAATTTGACATTGTTCTCCCTTTAAGTTCCAGTTAACAGTTAAAACATGTTTAAAATATAAAATAATATTAAGAAACATAACTTACAAAAACTAATGAAAATTGGTAAACACAAAAAGTTTTATATTATTAAATCAAATATTTGAATATAAAGATAGAATAATAAAATTATAGAAATCTATACAGAATGGCATACTATAGGCTTAGTACATAAAAAAATAATGTGTCCAAAACTGCTCTACAGTAGTTTCAGTAATATAATCATAGACTGCACTTCTTTTTTTTAACAGTGGCACATTTCATATACAGTGAAAATGCATCTAAAATAATACAACCATACTTGAAACAAGCTTTATGTAAACATTGTAAATTTTCTTTGATGTTATTGTAGTCTAAGTTTATGTTTGTTCACGTTGAATGAATGTTCCAGCTTGTACACGTGCCAAGAATTTAATGCAGGTTTCTCTTAGTGACTAAAAGGGGATTTTTTTTCCCAACGAATAATAATTATGTTAATTAAGTTATTTTGATCAAGACATTATTATTATTACATTTTTAATGATAGCCTTTCTTAGGTTTAAGATGAAGTAAGTTGGTTAATGTTTTGTATTTTTAAAAATCTTTCACAAACCTGTTAATTTATTTTATTTTATCTTTCTGTATTCTGATACACTTTCAATATAATTTAATGGTTTCCAAAGTGGTTCAGTTAGATATAAGTAACAACAATTATAATGTAACTTAAAGTAAAACAAGAAATTTTCATTTTAAACGATGTGGTGTTTTCTCGCATACGGCTTCATGTGTGAATACTTTAGAATTTTAATCTGTGAATTAGCTTACGCCTGGCGTAAGCTACGCCAGTCTTACGCCGTGTGTGTGAACATAGCCTTATTTAACTGATTTTTCACTGAGGGACTTTTTGATGAAAAAAAATGCTACCTATAATGTCTAACAGTATTTTTTTTTAATTAAAAATAAATTATAACTAGATTATGAAATGTTAAAAATGTTAAATGACTGAATGTTTGATTCTGATGTTGAATTTGAATCAATAATTGATTATAAATATTTAGACATTTTTTTGTGTAATTAATTTTTATGATGTTATCTCCTGCAAGTCGTGCATGCTTTTGTGTATTTTAAGAATTGATTTTTTCAATATTGTACTTTATTGATTAAACTTCCTACTCATGCTAAACTACAGTGTTTACTTAATTTTATAAGCAAATTTTGTACTTTTTCCTTCTCAAAATAAAGGCTAGGTCTTAGGTTTACTTGCAATTTGTTTGGAGTGGCTCTAGTAGTTTGCTTTACTCCCTGGGTTCTGATGTCATTGTCAAACACATTATTTTCAAGGTGACTGGTTGGGTGAACATAAACGACACAAACTTTTGTTTTTAGCAAGAAAAAAATCAATTTTGAATTTGATTCTTGAACATTTTCCTATAAAATTCCCAACTGACTACCAGAAATGTATTGGTCAATACAAAAAACATTGGAAGAGAATTATATAACACGTGTTAATTGTGTGAGGAAAATATTTCTTCGTAATTTTCTAAAAGCTAACTTGCTCAATTATTTAATTTTTTTTTTTTTTTTTGGGGTTCAACTAATTTATTACTGTTTAATTATTTTAACTTTAATTTAACACAAAAATTATCGGAATTCAAGTAGGTTTTGTTATGGCTGATACAGGTACCAAAGTTGTAGATTTGTCCTACTTTAATCGATCGTAAATAAATAAATTGAATTAGGTATGTTGAAATTCCCAGGGGCTGGATTTATCAAAACTTGCTGAAGCAAACAAGAATTCATTTCCAAACTATAATCCAGGATTTTGTTAAAAAAGTCGGATTTATTAAACCCGTCAAGCAAAAATATTTATACCTTTGTGAGCATGTTAGGCCCCAAACATCATGACAGAAAAGGCCACTTGAATCCAGTATGTATGCCAGCCCTAAGTAAACATGTGCAAATATGCCAACATAGAAATAACGTACAGTTATTACAGGCCAGACCTTGGTATTGTGCAAACGCGCTACATACAGATAACGTACAGGCCTTTATTATAGGCCTTAAGGTTTTGACATTAAGTACTACTGTACTGTAAATTGCAAATTCATTTGGATTCAAACCATTATATGATCACATGTCCTTTTCTCATGTTTCTTTTTGGCATTTAATGTTTAGTTTGCTGCTAAAAATCACTAAAAATTACTACTGTACATAAACTGGATAACACACTCTAATTGCCTTCTCATAACGTTTGGAAAGAAAAAAAAAAGTGCGTAAGAGATGCATAAATTTTTGCAATCATTAGTAAGAGAACAATTATTGTACCCTTAAAAATGCTTTTAGAATAATTTACGTACAATATTTTAAAAAATCATGGTGACTCTTCTATTTTAACAGCTCTCGGGAAAAAGTATGCCTTGGGCAAACAAAGGCACTGCTGAAGCCTCCCCTGCCAAGGATACAGTTTTTCAAAGGCAAAGTATTAATAAAGACTACACTACAGATTATATAAATACTGTCGGAGTAGGAGACTGATTAATAATAGTACAAAAAATGATACTTTACTAATTACTGCTTTGCAAATTCCCCAGTTGCATTGTATTTTTGGTAGGGCCAATTTAAGAATTTTCTATCTGAAGCAATTGTTATTCCCTTTCAGTAATGGTCCTGCACCAGGCCACTACTTCAAAAGAACTGTAGTCACAAACCTTGAACCACTTCTAGCCATGTTTATGTACAGTAAAACCCTTATGGAATAATTCTAGAACCATGACAAAAAATAACAATAACAATAATCTGCATTAACCTTGAGTGTAGTTAGCACTTTGTTCATGTCAAATAAACAAATACTGTAGTAAAACAAAAAGTTTGGTACTCTTCAAGGATGTAAAACCCATGGAAGTCTAAGGCTACGGTCACAATAGCGTCTCAAGCCTGGCTTGACTTACTGCGGGTGAGATTTCAAGCCAGCCTCAAAATTCTGGGTCGGTCACACTAGTTGGATTGACCTCCAAATTATGAAAGTCGAAACAGCAGAGCCGTAGAGAGAGAGTTTGGCCAACTCTGTTTCACGGGATTCGATATACGCACGTGTGATTGGGTGGATCGCAATCAAAGATTTTACACCAGACGTGCCCGAACCTCTCTTCTTCAACTGATCTTTTATCAGCTTGTATTGGGCTCGCAATGCCTTCACTTT